GTTTTCAACCGCGCGGCGCCATTTTTGAAGCACGCTGCATAGGTTTATTTTCAGAAAAGATGCAAAGTCAAAGTGTTTCAAGCATTATAAAATGGAATCTTTGGTAAGTTCCACAATTTCCGTCGGTTCTTCTTACTTTATCAGTTTCGTAGCACTAGCTATTTTCATGTATAAAAAAATGATGATAGATTAAGCTTATAAGCTTAGTAAAACTTATTAGTTCTTGTTTCCAAAGGGTCTTGGCAAAGTACGAATACAATGGTGAAAGTTCCACAGCAATGTTAAATAACATCAAGAACACATGATATCAAGGTAAGATGATTTTATTAAAAAAAATTTTTTGTATGCTCTGCTTGGGTTGCCTGTGGTTAGTTCAGTTAGTTATAACACTCATGCATAAAACATCAGTGTTGTAACTGATTTACAGACACTCGATGTGTGCCCAACACTAGAAAATTATAGTTCTCATCATAGAACTTTAATAGGTCTCAGAGTTGAAATTACTTATTTGCAGAGTCACAGTACACTAAAAAATAGTGGCGCTTGGATGTGGGAAACCAAGTTGACTACTACTCATGCTCAGATGGAGATATCTTCATCAATTATTCATTTTTGATATATTTTTATTTATTTCATGTTTATTGTAGTTTCTTAGGTTTGGGTTTTAGAAGTCATTTAAAAAACGAGTAGGAGTGTTTTATCGTGAGATATAAAGACGAGGCCGAAAATATCACATAAAGAGATGATATTTACTAGAATGTATTAAAAATCGTTAAAACGATGTAAATGACGTCAAATGGCGTCATATTTAGTGTGGAGGTTCATTGTGTGAAACTTTTATGGTCATGACCTATAGATATAAAGTTGGGATGAATGAACGAGATGCATTATAGAAACTAGAATGACTACGCACTTGTGTTATGTCTTTAATAAATATATTTTATTTCAAAATATTTATTGTCGTCCATACATTTGCTTATAAATGTAGCCGCTATTTTGTTTAAGAAAATCGGCGCACGCGCAATACGTGATGACCGGAATTGTAGCCCATGCCTGGCCGGGACAACGTCTAGTGTCTCACGAAAGCCAAACATCTTACAAAGAAATATACATATTTAAAAAAAAAATCAAATCCCCGAGCAAGGCCGTCAGCCAATTTAAAAGTGCCAAATCAAGCAAACCTTCTCTGCAGTGATATCCGGTGTTTCCTGTAAGGCATTTATCAATGGCATCCAAGACCATGCGGTGGATCCTGGAGCGGCTTTTATTGTGATTTCAACCATTTCTCCTGGCTCAGAATGTTTGTTGTAATTATATCGTTCTGTACTATACCTGAGGAACAGATAAAATGATAACACGTATTCTGTCTGACTGTCAAATCCGCAGATTCATTAATGAACTGAAAGGGAAAAAAATTTCGGAAACTGTCGTCGATAGGCCGACCTGGGGAGGGGAAGTTGGCTATCTTTAAATGGATAGATTTAGATCGGAAAATGAAATCTCTTTCAGATGGACTCCAGTTCAGCCGTTTAGCTGAATGACACTCATTCGGATTTAATTTCTCATCTTATTTCAATTTATATCATAATTTCTATTTTTCTTTAAGTGTGCCCTAAGAGTAGTTGGCAGCCACCCTATAATGATCCCCCTCCCTGGAACCGACCTTGACAATGCCAAGGTACATGTTAAGTTCTTAAAAAATATAGCATGTTTAGATTCCCAAGGAGTGAACAGCCAGCTTGTTGTTAGTCGTGCTTGAGGAAGTGTGGCCGGCAGTTGTTGGAAATGGTCAAAGAGTCGTCTTTTATCACGAAATATCTGTATAAATAGCTGGTGGTAAAGATTTCGACGAAATATAGATGTTTTTTTGTTTAGTATTTATCGTAATTTTAAATTTAACGACGCAAGAAGAAAACCTCTGGTCGTGATCGTTGAGAATCTCACTGTCATGGCACCCGCTTCGGATCGGCGTTTATGATTTGTGGAAATATTTAATCTCTAAAGCAGCAATATGATTGGCTAGAAAATATACCCCTGAGTGGGCATAATTTATCCTTTCTTCTGATTTGCTGACAAAAAATTACATATTTGACAGCAGTCATTGCAAAGACAAAAATACGCTAAATACTAAAAAAACATTTATAAAATTTTTGATATATAACGCGCACTCTGATTGGCTGACGACCGTGTTTATATCAGAGGACAGAGACACGGCTTACCGACAAAATGTTCTTCTCGCTACGCTAGTGTTCCTAAGCTTGCTTCTCTGTGTTTTTCGAACTCCCACCGTGTTTATATCAGAGGACAGAGACACGCGCGCCGTTTTATAATTCTTAATTATAAATTAAAGAAGAGAAAACCTCTGGAACCAGGGTACTAATCGTCTAGCAGAGTTGTAAACTTGATAATACAACTCACCTAAAATGTTGAGAAGTTCAATCTCTTTGGCCGAAGAGAAGCATCAATAGTTCTCAATTTGATTTAGCACAGAACCGCTGTTATGGTAAAACAGAAGAGTTTCACATGGAAACGTGAAACAGTTACAAAAATGCCCACCATTTAGGTGAATGGGTTAACGAGTGGGTTTGCTTCTTATCATGAACTGGCGACTGTGTATAAACTTCCTTTATCATTCGATACTCTCTCACCAAATATGACTGTTAATGCTCACAACACTCCAATTTGATACGTCACGTTGTTCATAGTTGGTTTGATCTGAAAAGTCAAGCGCAATTTTTCACCATTGTTAACATGCCAAATACGTTCTAATACTCTTGATTATTTCTTCATTAACCCTATTCAGACTGGGCTTTTTTTTTCAATCTGTGACTGGGCCCCCCTAAATATCTTCGGAACCAATATGTCTATGAGCATGAAATTTTCACACAATGGTCACACATATAAAACA